GCGCGTTCTATGATCGATACTCCGTGGAAAGTTTGCACAATGCCCAGCGGCGTTCGCGCGGGGACTTTCGGTTTCGAGAAGAGTGTATTGTCGTGTCGAGGTCCGGTGAATCCGCAAGCGGGGGTAGACGAGTTCCAAACATGTCAATTCTGTCAAGAGCCGCGACCGAGATGGTCGAGTATGTGCGCATACATACGCTTGACCCCTCGTCCATCCCTTCTCACGCCTGAACCAACTCCTGACAGACACGAAGGATGGAAGACGCGTTTCACACACCGGATAAAAGGTCCTCGAAACGCGTCAGCAGGTCCTATCCCACGCGATGATCGTGCCTTGACCGAGGAGCGATAGCGAATCGAGACCCCAGAGACATTCGATCTCCCCCCCTTTCTCTCTCCTTGTTGTATCGTGTTACCTTGTCCTGAATTTCGTTCTGTGGACCATCTGCACCTTCGATTACAAACAGATTTGATTTAGTTTGCGTACGCGATCGAAAAGTGAGCACTTTACACATAAAAAAAGTCTCTTTTGTATATAACTCGAAGAAGACGATATTTGTTAAAAAAAAATATATATATATATATCACGCGTTTTGTTTACGACAATTGCGAGAGCGTCAGACAATTATTCTTCTCACTATTACGATTTTTACCGCTGGATAATTTGTATTAATTTCAAACAGAAGAGTTCTCTCGACACAAAACATTTCTTTGCCCATTAATCTATGAAATCTATTTGATCGCTTGCACCGTGTGCACCACATTCGGATGAATATATCTCATTTTTCAAAGTCGGAGTGCGGTACGAGATGGATTGTATGAGAAGCTAAAAAGGGCATTTTTGCAATTGAAATTACCGCGATGGAGAATATTTTCGCTATCCGCGGCGGGTACGACGGCATGGCACCTTGCCTCGGGCTCAAGGGATTAAAATAATAATAACGTTGGAAATTGGACACGGTCGCGGCGGCGGTACCCTCGTAATCTTTGGCGACCATATGCCGGTGTCAGCTGGAACGAAGCCAGACGAATGTAAAAAATGATCGCGCGCCTAATCTGCCATTGTGCGGGTTGTGAGTTCGGGCCCGCACACTGGCCTAACTTTATTCAATTGCAACCGTGACTCTCTCTCTCTCTTTATGATTTCGCATATATATCCGTCCGTGCGAGAGAGTCCGACAGAGGGCGAGAAAGGGATCGCAAATATTCGTTCTGCACGTGCCGCAAGATCCGTTCGATTGCCAATAAGACGCGCTGCATAAATCTGCCGTAAAGATCAGTTGCGAACACGAAAAACGATCGCGCGCGGCTTCATATTCAACGTCGTTATCGTCGGAAATCGCGCATAGCGAACTCGAATCTCTCTCGGGCGCAAGTTCTTCAGAAATAACCGCCGCTTTCCCGCGTTATCGCTCCTCGAAAAAATCGTCTCACTGATTTTATATAATCCGCGTAATCTGCGCGGGCGCGCTGATTTTTCTTCTCGCACGAAGCGAGAACTGAGTTCTCGACTAAAATCGATTTCAAATCGATTCGCGAAGAGGCGAAGCGATCTCTCAAACGCCAGCACGGTGAGAGCAATAAACTTCCTAAAATTCCCTCATCGACTATGCCGACTCTCGTCGTTCTTCGTTGGCTTCTCCGTTCGCCTTCATCGATTCAATTCAGCGCGATATTGTTTTTCACGACTCATAATCTCGCTTCTTTCCATTGCCTATTCCATTTACATATTACTGTCAACGTAACGCGCTTTCTTTTTTATGTAGTTATTACTCGAGTTTATGTTTTCCATGGATGTTGCGAATTTTAAATGGAAGAGAGTGAATTATATTCACATTCGAATTGGCGAAAAAGATCAAAGATACATTTTCGCAAATATGGAATATTATTAATTTTTTCTGTTTTTATCCCAGATTATAATTATAACTATTTAATTTTGGATGCAGAAAGAATTGATTAAATTCTTAATTGAATGTGTTTTCTGATTTTGTATGTTGGCGAAAAATTAGAGCTGAGAGGATGAGATACGCGGTAAAATAACGCTATAGGATATATCAAATAAGTTTTTCAGAAAGTCGGATTATATATTTATTGCTCGGACCAAAACCGGATGCTCTGCAAACGGCGATTAAAAGCTTTCGCAGAAATGCATTTACATGCAAAAACGTGTACGCAAGAATTGGAGCATGACGTGAACGTACACAGAGAGGATTTAAAGAGCGAATCGTCCTCTCTCGTTACATATTGAGATTTTAAAGTCGGCGGGATTTAAATACGGTATTAACGATCGTTTGACTAAAAACGAGCTCTATTTCAAATTTACGTGGAATTAACGTAAAATCTAAAACAACGTTTATATTCTCAAATTTTCGAAATAATTTCCAACATCTCGTTTAGCTCGACAAAACGGATTATTAATTAACGACTCTTATTTTCATAAGACAACCGCAAGTGGATCTTGTATGTAGGTATACACACACACACACATCGTATATACGCATATATTTGTCAAGCTGAACGAAACAGAAATTATTTCGAGAATTTAAGGATATAAACATTGTTTCATATCTATAATCATAAAGAATAGTCTGGATATAAACCATTGAGCTCTCGAATCAAGAAAATAAAGAACAATTTATACGTTTATATGCCGATATATATTTGTGATAGCAATGGTTTCAACGTTTTCACGCAACCCTCTGTTTTTGCAGCCCTCCTTTTTTTTTTTTACGAGATATACGGCCGTAAGATTCGTAACGATTCCGGATCGCTAATACTCTCTCGGCGCGTGCTTAATTAAGAAATACTGTAAACGTTGTTAGGCCGTTGTGTGCCGGGAACCACCGAATCCAAATGAATGGTTTCCGCAACTAAGGTCGTTAGAGCATTATCACGCACCGTTAACAACCGTCGATTAGCGATTATGTATCGTCCCTCCAAGTTCGGAGTGCGCGTTCTTATGGGAGATCGTTGCAAGTAATTTACGATAAGTAGATGTTTGTGCGCGCACGTAACACCGGCGTGGACGTCTTTTAATGGCGGTAAATTACACGACGGCAAATATTTGTCAGAGAACCCAGCGCAGTGGCACCATATGTTTCTCCGACGCATCAATATTGAACGATTAATTATTTATATTATGCGCGTATCGTACAATTAATTAAGCAAATATTAGCACGCAATGCAGTCGAAAACAATGTAACAATTATCGAATAATTATGAAACGGTTGGAAATTATAAAACCGTACAAAGTTTTAATTGTATGGTTATATTGTGCGTGTTAACGAAATATATGCTGCAAAAGAGAACAGAGTTATATATTTATATAATATATATATGTACAAGTATATAAATTACTTACATTGGCGACGGGAGTGAATACATATATCTTGCAGAGCGATTTTGCTGAATGAACGTACAAAAGTGAATACACGAGACATAATATTACTATAACGCGGAGTGTATTCGCCGCGTGACATAAATAACGTTGCACCAAAGGGGCGCGAGCCTCGCTCTCTGTCTGTATAAATAGAATCTACACGTCGCGCGACGACGTTTACTCCATTAACAATTTCGACGGAGCCGCCCGGTTTTGTCGCGAGCCGAAAATAGAAGCGTTTTCGCGCGAATGACGCATCAAGACGCAACAGTTATATTAACTCGGATACACAATGAGCGGCAGGTGCGACCGTGTCGTTTTATGCGAGCGAATAGAATTTTATTACGACGATTAGATGAGAATAATTCTCGTACTTGAAATACGCTTACTTAGATCGGCGTCGAGATGCGAACGAGCGAATTTAGAGAAAATCGGTGGTGGAAAAAGAAGTGAATATAAATTTCAAAGTCTCTCGAGACACACAGGTCTAGGAATCGTGGTTTATCTGAGCCGATCTAACGAGCTATGGCACACATTGGTTTTGAATAAGTCCGACATTAGAGGGAGCGTGGCGTAACGTGGGTCGTTTCGCGGAGATAAAACGAGATCGCGTTTTTTGCATCCCCGTGCAGGCTTATGGAAGAGAGAGAGAGAGACGGTTTGGCTAGCACGTGAAGAAGCGAGGAAGAGAAAGAGTGTTATATAGACGGGGAAAGAGGTGCGGAACACAAGGGATAGATGCGGAGGAAGAGTAGCTCTGTTCCAGAATAGGAACCCCTTTCATTCGACGTCAGCCCCTCTTGATACCGTATAAAATATAGTATTGTTCGCGCTCTGTTAGTTCAGAGTGGAACGAGTATATTTAGAAAGGGGTGGCTTTCTTTCATATGTTAAGCAGATCAGTGTCGATGAGATAGAAAGGAGAGAGAAAGAGGATGGCGAGGGTGGTAGGCAAGAGCGACCGTTCTTTCTCGTGGCGTTCCAGCGGGCTGGTCCGTGAATTTTATATGCAGTCTAGCTCTCCCGACGTGCAAATGATAATCGATTTGACTTAATACCCTTAAACAACTCTGCCACGACTATCGCGCTCGCGCAATATGTCCTTTCTTTCGTTAAAAAAAATATGTAAAATATATATTCTCACATTTTGTCACGGAAGCTTTTCACGGAAGTTAAAATTTGTCGTCCCAAATTCGCATTTACACCGAAGACAATAGCAAAAGTTCTTCCCGCAGCTTGCTCAGATCACTGATATCAATTCGCGCTATATTGATCTTTAAGGTTTCCACGCCGCGGATTTCAGTTATAGCGGAATCCGCGCTGGCCGATGGAACGAAAATGTCGAGCGCGCGTTACGTGCCGTGTAATTCCGACGAGTTTACGGTAGAGATAAGTCAGAGTTGACTTTAGCCGGATTACCGGCGTGCGCGCGCGGCAGAGGGAGGTTGGTGGGTGAGTTGGCCGCCCCTTACTATCCGGCCGTTATTATAAAAGTCATAATGAAAATCTAACGATCCCCCGGCAAGCGAGCGGGCCGCGACGCGGCGTTTCCGCGCCGCGGAAAATGAATTTCGCCATGCTACGACGTCGCGTTTAATCCCCTTATTTACTTTTGCTTTCAGAACACGTGCGCGAATTCAGCTGCGGCATGCTGTACTACAGGACGCTCTATCTGGACAGTAAGAGGGACGCCCTATACGTCGGAGCTATGTAAGTAGAACTTTTTTCCAGCTCCGTAATAAAATGTCACGCCATGAAAATCCCCGGGAAAAGTTGCCGCGCGCGTTTCCCTCGTCAAAGCCTGAGGACAGAGGTATTACGTCAACGCCGCGCGGTTGTGTGTACGTATGTACGTGCTACGCTGCGGATTTTTACGATTGCTGTGATTAAAATTCTACAATGTATGTTGAAGCGCGGAATCGTGCTGCTTGATTGAATTTTCCGATGTCGCCGGATAATCGGATATAATCCGAACTTTGAGGGATTACTCGTTACACATGATATCGGCTTTCGGGATAATAATTAACGTCGAATAGGCGACATAGATCGCATGAAGCCTTTGTATCGCGTTTTTCTTCTCGGAGAAAACAGATTGAAAATGTTGTATTTAAAATATTTTTATTCTAAGAGACTCGGTTGTTTTAACTCGCAAAGTTTTATACTCAATTTCTATCGATTTTTCACTACTATTTTTCTTCTTATTGTTCGTGAAAACCGCGAAGCTGTTTACCTCGCCTGTTTCACTTCACAGAAGATGATTAGAATTTTCTCGCTCTAAATGTTTCACTTGTTAGCAGAAAGGCAATTTACTCGAGACCTTTGAGCTGCGGAGGAAAACGGCAAGGAGAGCAAACATATAATATAAATCGAAACTGACGATCTGGGCAATTATGGTTGTCGGTGAAATGAAAAACGTCATGTCAACAGAGATCAAAATTAATGAATTTTCTATTTCATTCTTGAAACATACAGCAATCTTTTAAGCATCGCGAGCGAAAGCGAACGATTTATAATAATATACATGTACGTAAATATAGTGACGAATACTTATATAGTTTTAAATTACATGACGTTTTCCTATCACAAAGCTCTCCTTTACGAACGTTCTATGATTGTTTTATACACGCCTGTGTCAAAGTCTCTCTATTTCTCAATATTTCCCAATTCCCCTTCCATTCAGTTTTTTTTTCACGAAACTTAGCCGTAATTAAAAGTTGCACGAAGAAGAGTTTCTTATCGTTCCCTAGGTAGCCGTAATAACCCGTTAAATCGATCGCGTCTTCTCTTCGTACGAGTATCGGGTTATTATTTCTTCGATGGTGACTCGGCGGGAGAGCAAAGGCTAAAGGGCCAGCCCCATCATGTTCCCCGGAGCCCTGGTACAGATTGCGGGAGGGAGACGTCGCATCATTACCAGCGGAGTATTATTTCTTGATTCGGTTCCAGCTGCTCTCTCTCTCTCTCTCTCTCTCTCACCCGCCATCACCCTTGGCGGACCATCCGCTAACGTTCGCCTCCTATTCTCCGTTCTCTTTTGTGCGCGATGCCTCCCCTTCTCTTAATTTGGTAAATGCCAGCAAAATGCTACGAAGCCCCGGTAATGGAGACGCAACGGGGATGGTTCTCCAATGCTTGCGGATACGGAGAAATCCCGAGGCAGACGAGGAATAACGTTTGTTTAATCCCTTTGTGAGATGAGACGGATCGTCTTACGAGCTTCTCTCACAATTCCTGATTCGAACAAGCAAGTAGAGCTTTCGTCAACGAGACGAGATTCAATTGACTTTACCGTTTCGGAGCGATTTGATAAATTCATAACATTATATAATTTGCGATATACACCGGCGGTAATAGTAGTCGTATTTTTTTTTACGTTTCCTTCTGAATGGATATGTAATATTTGTTATAACTGTGATTCTCATATACGATACGCTAAAAAAATATACAATTTTCTTCTCACTATCGATAGAAGATAAACTGGCAACAATATAATTTGAACGTAACAAGAAATCAAATTAAATATAAGATATATAAATCAGTTTTGCACGGAAAGATAAAAGATGACAAGCGCATAAAAGTTTCCGCTTTTGAGATAACTCTACCTTTTCATTTTTCTCTCTTTCTTTCTCTTTCTTACGTATCTACGAGATGAGATGAGCTCACCATATGGGGCGACAAAAAGAAAAGTACAGTTACAATAAATTGTATTTCCCAAGGAAAGCGGCTACTTCGACTTTAACGTTTCCTGTTTCCTGGCTTGGTTCCATGTACTTGCGTCGTTTCGTCTTATGTCTCATATATATATATATATATATATATACACGCATATCTATTCGCAAGCTACAGTATCGAGTAGAATTCCGATAAGAATCTCGCGCAAAAGGAAATCGTATCAATGTCTCGAACGGTAAGAACCGATTAAACCTCATGATCTCGTATAAGACGTAATTTTGAAATGATTTTTAAAAGAGGTCCGATTTTTTTCTGCACATATAGATTGTCTCGCGTGACCTCTCGCTCCCGATCGCGACTGCTTTCTCATGTCCCTTTCATATCCATTCTTCACGATTTCCTTTTTTTTCTCTCTGTTATTCGCGCACGACGATCGATACACGCTCGAACATCGTTCCTCGTTAATTAGAAAGGTGATAGCCATTAATTGTAGTTTGAGAATCGGCACCCGCGTTGCGGTTCGCTCCGCAATTAAGGCACGCTAATTGAACGCTTCCAATTATCAAGCCGGAGACCCGCCGGCGCTCAGGGGGGTTATATACATTAAAAAAAAATCTACAGCTCGCTTATATCCGTCGATTCGTCTGCCGTGTGTCTAGCGAAACGAGATAGAAATTCGTTGATCATATTTTCATCTTTTCCTCGCCAGACTTGTATTGTGTGTTCTCGCGACAATCGCGGTCGAAAAAGCGACTGCGACGGGATTAACACGTCGCATCCAGTTCGCGATCGGTTTTCCTCCTAATTGTCTCCCTGGGTTGGAAATCGTTGCCGGGAAACGCTACGGCTTACGAGAGATTTCACCTCCGTTAACGCTCGCTGAAACAACCGGCAGTAGCACGTGATAACGTAGAGAAGTGAGTTACGGCCGCGAACGCGCTTGCGAGGTGAAAACTGCCACGAGCTTGCGGCGTTGTAGAACCAACCGTGGCAATTGAGCTTTCTCTCCCGGACGTTTTCGTCGATGTTAGCACTTCGGATGTCGTATATCGATTTGGCGGATTACTCTCGTCCGCGTGCTGTATCCGACGAAATTGTATCCGCGAAATTAGATTAAATCGTGCTAAATCCGTGCATTTTTATCCGTCACATTTCATCCGCACATTTTATGTCACTCTTCATGGTTTTCGCTATTTATTTGATGAAAAGTAACGTTTTATAACGTCCGTCGGAGGGGGCTGCATTGCGGTTTATTGAAATGCTGACGTATAACAATATTCTGTCATGTGTGTGTATGTGCTCGTTGATTTATACTGGGAATTATTAAAATTGTTCTATTATGTTAAACCCATCTTGCCACGCGTATATACGTCTCTTTCCCGAAGGCGTCGGGATAAATAGCGCTGTTGCAAACGTCACTTTCCTGGCCCTTGTCATGTATTTCCCCAGGCCGGAATCTCTGTGAGAGGGCGGTGTGAAGGAGGGGAGAAGAGTAGATCTCGACGCGTTGGATAATGCATCTCGGGTCAGAGCTGTCCGTCACGCTCAGCCACAAATTCAGACAACGATGCTTTTCGGATTTCGCCCGGCATTCGTCAGGCTCCTTTTCGCGTGCGGTGAAAATGTCCGTATTACACGCGCGCGAATAGAGCCCTACATTACATGTTTGCGTCAGTGTATATGTGGGTGTGTATATATACACTAGACACAAAAGCGCGGTGTGCATATATATAGTTGTTGCTCCAAGCTTATTTAGAAATGGGAAAGCACGGACAACACACATGCGGTCCGCGCACTCGTGTTGCTGAGAATTTCGCAAACGCTCTATCGATCCTCAAGTTTTCCGTTTTTATTTGCGAATTAGCAATAAAATTTGTTGAAATTTTCTTCTCCGCGGTAGCGGGGCCGTCTTTGTAGTTTAAGAAATTGCAGCACGACCTGCGCAAACTGCTGGAGAGATTTTAATTAAACTTTCCCGCGGAAGCTCCTCGGGCGATGTTAAAATGTTAAATTGAACCAAATTCTTTCCCCGATTCTCGAGTAACACTTTCTTTATTTAAAAAAAAAAAAAAATGTTCCGCACTTGTCACAGAATCGTGTCAATGAGGTCTTAATGAAATTTTTCCCTGACGATTTTCAATGGCAAAGTAATTTCTCAGTTTGATTACGCACGTTTTACCAATCGAATTTCTAAGCGGCTGAGCGATGACTTTGCAGCGCAACCCCGCCTTTTACGCCAGGTTTCCCCTACAAATTACTTTTCTACGAATTTTTTCTTTCGATAGCATGAACGACGTGCCAGCACGTAGACGATCCTCGTCGTTTCCCGCGCATTTCCTTTCCACCTGCCGAACCCTCTAAAAAGTTCGTCGGGACGAAAGTTCGACGCGGGTAGATTCCAAAGTACGGATTTGTTTTTCTACGTTGGTATTTACTTTTTCACGGCGCGATGCACAGAATGAATGAAAAAGGAGAGCCACTGAGGGATAGGTCTTCCTTTTCCTCGCGTTCTCTCTCTTTTTCTCTTTCTTTTTTTTTTCAGCGCGTTTCGCGCGTGCATTCCGTCTGACTGCGTATTTCTATTGAAAGGCGATGATGAATGGCTATTGGGATAAAGTTATGCGGCGCGCCGGCGTTAATGTTGCGAAACATTTGAAAACTGGGTAAATTCGATTTACGATCGGCGGCACCCAGCGGCGCGTATACCTTTCACGTATGATCGAACGCAAGCCACCTCAGATTGCGGGGGAATTTATATGAAAATCTGGTGTGTGTTTTTCACACACAGGACTGTTTCGTTCACACGCAGGAGGTTCTTCGCACTGGCGAGTGTGTGCGATATATTAATCGAAATGCAGGAGATATATTTATCATTCGAAACTTGACATTAACTGCTGCACGAACAGTCTGTGAGAAATATAATTAATATTCGTAATTATATTAATTTTAATAGGAAAACTTTGGGGAAGCATATAGCTTATTTCCCAGATTCTCTCTTTCAATGTTTTGATTTCTATGATACTTTAAATCTTAAACGTGAATAACGATTTTTTGAGAAATAAGATTCTAATAAAAGCGAACGACGTGACTTGGGACCACTGTCAAACAAAGAAAAGACAACGCGAAACTCGGTCAGAGAGAGAGAGAACGGAAAATTCATCCTACTTTAGCCTCCGGTCTCTCCTTTTCTACCCTCATAGAAATTCCGTGCCGTTTGTGAGCGTTCGTCGTGGCAGAGAAGCCGTAAGCAAAGTGCCGCGGTGCTACACAACCATATATAACGGCGACGAGATAAGGTAGGGTCGAGTCACGGAGAGTAATGCATCTCGCAGACGTTGGGAATGAAAATTTACCCCTCGACCCTTTCGTCTATCTCGCGACCACGCTTAATTCGGCCGTTACGCTAACACGAAACTTTCCTCTTCTGCTTTCAGGGACAAGATCTTCAGGCTAAATCTGAGCAACATCAGTCATTCCAACTGCGAGGTGAGTTGTGATCTTTTTGTATACCATATATTTTGCGAACCGCATTTCGGCACGTTTAGCGCTAAATGTGGTAACGCTTGCGTTATCTAAAATTAATATCAAATTTAATATTGAACGAGCGAAATTATATAACAACTGTATTTAATTTCAAAAGTGAAAACGTAGATCTGCGTGTTTTAGGGCGATATGTGTCTTTTAGAAATATGTAACTTTGTAAAAACTTTAGCAAAGTTTGTAGCTTTTAATTATATATAATACGCGATATAATGTTTGCTTTTAATATACTAAGTTTATTATTTAAAACATCGGGCAAAATGTAGAGATAATAATCTAATATAATTACGTCTTGAAATTGCAAGAAACTTCAGTGGTACTAATTTGATACCATCTCGGGATTATGTAAGTTTCTCGTATTCACATTCTCTCCTCTCTCTCTCTCTCTCTCTTTTTCTCAAAACTGCACGTTTATTTAATTCAACTAATTTATTCTTCAATAAATCTTGGACAGAACTTAATTCACCGTTCACACGTGCTCTTTTTTTTTATGATTATTTTCGTTTTGATTAACATGAAATACGTCATGTGAAGTTTGGCTTCTATTTGAGGGGACTATAAAACCAGGTCCCCGGTCGCGTAACTTGAAAAGCTCGTCCCCATAAAATAGTGTCAATCATGCATAGCCGAGCGAAACGATACCGACGTCATTGGAACAGCTGACGCGTATCTATCGGCTAAGCGATCCATTGTGGACGAACGAATCGCACGATGATTTTTTTCACGCACTCCCTCATCCGGCTTAAATGCATGCGATGCGTCCGTTTTAAAAACTCGCAAAGTGCATTCGCGTATATTCTCGTTCGAGAGTAGCGGCCGAGATATAAACAATCGCGGACACGTTTCGATTACGAAGCTATCGCGTTGTATTATACTGTACAATGTTTTGTTTCTTTCGTCTCAAATTCCTGCCAAATTCCGATGATCCGTAACTCGTCGTTTCCACTCGAATCATGACATTTAATATTTTTTTAACGCGCCCATAAATGCACGCATTCTTCCGGACGAGTTTTGGTAAATGGGACGCGCTCGATCGGGAATTGAATCAAAATTGCTATCTCACCTTCCTGATGTTCTTCTACGTCGAGAACGATAGTCGGTCGCCAGACGCTCGTTCGACTCGGTCGGAGAGAGAGAGAGAGGAAATTGCTTTTTAACCCTCCCCGGTTGCGACAAGGTGCGCTTCCACCTGGTGGCGACTACCTACAGACGATACCTCGTTCGACCGACTCTGCGACCGGAATGAAATCCGATTGTCGGCGTTGTTCGTCGATTTGTTCTCCTTGGAGAGAACAACGAACGTTCTGAGAGAGACAACGCCCCGCGGCCCCGATTGGAAAATCGCCCGGCTCTTTCCAACAAGAGCTCCTACCGCCTCGACCTCCGCTCTCGACCTACAGCTTCCGGCAAGTAGTTTGGTATCTAGTTCTTCGACAGTGGCGTCGGAGTTTCTACGCGTTATCGCGCGGCACGATTTTACAGTCGGTTTCTACTGTTTGAGAAAATAAACGGTTATCTACAGACTTTTCTCGTGCGAAAGAGGTGAAGGATGCTTGAACGATATAACGAAACATTTCCAAGAGCGAATATATACACCCTGCGAAACGTTTTATTCGAGAGAGAAACCGTTCTGGATAATTTCGAGTACCTTTATACGGCGAACTGCGAGTACATTTCTTCGTGAAACAGATAATAATAGCGAGAAAAAATCAACATGCACGATTTTCTCTTTTTTTTTTTACATTTACATCGTATATGAAATTATTATGTCTGTTTATATCCTCGAATTATTCTTGGAAAAAGAATGAATGAAAAAAGAAATTATTTCTCGGACAAATCGGTGGCCAAGAAAAAACGGCGGAGCGATGTTTCGCTGTGGGGAGAGAAACGACGATTCGAAAACGCAATTATATTCGTATCGTCGAGTCCACCACCTGTCGCGAGGACGAAAAAACCGCCCCGAATCGGAGGAAGAGAGAAAACGGGGTGTCCTCGTTGCGTCACCCCGTCGTTTCTCGTTCGACTTTCATGCCAGATGCGACGATTGTGACGTCGCTGAAACTAATTTTAACATGGACGACAACGCGCGTTTTCACACACACAGAGAGAGAGAGAGAGAGAGAGAGAAGAGGGATGCGAAAACGTCGAAGCAGATAGTTGCTCTTCGCCTCCAGGCCGCACGTGATCATTAAATAGGTACACAGAGCGAATTGATGTACACGCGCGAGTTATTCGGCACGGACGGACCGTTTTAGCCGAGTTAATGCCCGAGAGCGTTGCACCGTGATATAAAGTTTGCACGAATGTAACTTACGTTCCGCATACTGGGTTTCCGCGAACAACTTGCTCGAAAATGTGCCAACGATATAGCGGTGTTCCGCTGCGAAGTTTGGGAAAACGATGAAACAACATGAAATAATTCTAATAGCCGGTCGGTTTCACCGTACAGCGGACAAGTTACTTCGTGCGATTACATTAAGCAATCACGCGCGGTTGATTATTACTATGGATCGGGTGTATCATTTTCAGTAAATTTCATCGCGCTCCGATTTCGTAATTTCGGAATGCGAACGATTCGGTTCGGTTACAATCGCATTGCGAGGTTACCGGTGTGTTACCATTACCGCAGAATTCGATTCCATTGAGAATGAACGAGCATGGAATTTCGATTTTCTTCGTAGCGATATGTGGCCGTAAAACGTTAACGCGTGGGCCAGGCCAGGCCACAGAAACCGTTCTCCCCTTCTTTTGTTCCCTCCCTAAGTCTCTGGAGCATTTCGAGCTACGAGGGATTCGCAGGGTAAACTGAAAAGAGATACACGTGGACGCGAGAAGCAAAGGAGATGTAAGAAGGAATACCACGTGCGGGATAATATAATTTTGCATTTTACATATATGCATGATGATCGTCCGGCTTGGGAAAGGATCCTCGCGGATGCTGCGAGAGAGAGGGAGGATACAATACCGATTGGGACTGGATCGAATCGAAGATGTTAGTTATATATGTATTATATCATAAATCGAGCGGGCAAGAAGAGTAATATAGTCCAAGTAAAGTCATAAAAGTAAAAAAATATACTCGAGTGGATGAGAAGGCGGCGGATTATTAATCAACATTTTTTTTCATGATTATATACTTACATAGTTTATTAGTTTAATCTGCTCGTATTACTGAAAATTAATTATATTTATTTGTAAACAAAAGATTAGGAAATTTTTGAAGCATTCTGACAGTAGTAGAGCTTTGCTCAAAGTCCACTTCTGGCTCAATTTTCATAAATTTCCATTTTCGACGATAACCGATTGGGAAGATAGATGCGAATAAGAAATATATGAACACAACACAGGACTCACATTTCTCAAGATTAAAGATATGTACTATGTACATTTAAAATGACGTATATTTTTGGGGGCAAATGTGAGAATGGAAATTCGGATGCGTTCGGGTCGATTTCGATAGCATCTCGCTTCAACGTGAACCTACCCTACACCACCACGGAGACAATGTTCCATGCTAATCCTGCCTCCGTTACAATTTCATAAGGGGAAGAAACGAGTTCGTGCGTCCGCCCTGAGGGACCGCACGCGTTCCAGGCGAGTTATAGTACGTGGCTAGAATAGACGGCCGGGAGGTTTTAAGCTCCCCGCATATCCTACAAAGGGACGGCCGCTGCACGATGCCCGAAAAATACACGCGAAACGAAACTTGCACGTACTTTTCCCCTGGCGCATTTTAAGAGCAACAAGCAAAACGGATCGATACAGTTAACGCGTATGTTTTCTAGAAATAAAATTTACCATTTTGAGTTTGTTTATGATTATTTAAGGGGAAACGCTTTCAATAATATAGATTTTGTATTAGGAAAATATCGAACATGTTTACTCGATGATTATTCGACTGTGATCCAGATGCGCAACATCGGAAAATAAAAAAAACATTAATCGTTGCATGAATATTTTTTCGCAACAAAAAAGATTACATATATATGGAAGAATAACTTTACCGAGTATTCGATGCATATTCGATAAAGAGAAATACGGACAGCAGCACCGCGATCGCTTAGCGATTTCGAGTTATATGTATAACCGGGTAATTCCGTTTTCATGGACGCACGCTAGTGCAATCTTTGTATCTTTATCATCGTCTGGGAGAACGTGCATCGAACGATAAGACCAGCCTCGCTCGAACCTTGGCTACTTTTTGCGCGTTACATCTTCGCCGAGGTATGCTCGGGTTTGCGCAATACGAGGGAAAGGAGAAGCGGCGTTATACGATAAGGCGAAATCGTCTGATCGATCCCCGAAGTACGATGAACGTATCGATCGAGAACTGGCGTGCGCGAAAAAGAAGTCGTCCATCGTTGATCGCGTAACGAATTCCGACGTTGGATGCTCAGACGAGCTCGGCCGCGCCGTGAATAAAGCATGCTGGCAGCCGATACGAGCAGGAAGCGATAGAGGAAGGCGCGCGAATAAGATAGTAAAAGAAGCGGAACCCGAACGCACGCGGATCTCGTCGAGAAAATCGGAATCTATAAACCACCGGTACGTGCAATAAAGCAACGTCCAATCCGAAACGGGGGAGGGATTCAACCAAGTCCCACGTTTTTTCGACGACGATTTCGTTCACACACACATGCACATTTAAGATATTTGATATATCTATAGAGCTGTTGCATAAAAATTGCCCGACTGCGGAAGATTGGGACATGGAGCGGTTTTACGTTTACTAGACGTCACTGAAGTATTAAGAAACTCTCCCCGGGATTTACACGGTTGTAAAATCGCGGATGAGATACGGCGGCTCTGTCGCGATACGGCGATACTCCCACTGAAAGAACCCGGAGACGAAGGGACACTTGACATTTCGATGCAACACGCGTACGCGAATACACGTGATGGATGGAAACGCGCACGCGCAAGGGGGCCCACGCCAGGTAGTAAAC